GCGGATAACAATTATGAGCCAAAGTAGCTGGGAGGAAGAATTTAATCAGAAAAATGTGACTGATAATTGGAAATTGTTTAAAAACACTTCAGTAGATGCCCCCAAAGCCAAACTCAAGGAAGGGGACCATAGGGGTTAAAAAAACTGACCTGGCTTAGAAGGCACATGAAAGCAACTATAAAATATTTTTTTAAATGATGTATATCAAAGGGGAGAAGGGAGAAGCTGACAGTAATAAATATAAATCAGAAACTAGGAACTGTAGAAAATTGATAAGGAAAGGAAGGGGATAGAAGAAGAAATATATGGCCAGCAGAGTTAAGGACAATAATATACTTTAAAAACTGGTTCTTAAGAACAATTTGAATGCTGTTGCCTGAAAGGGGGAAAAGGTAACTCAGAATAAATCGGGTGTGGTAGAGGGAAAGAAAATGGATACCCCTTTTTCTCAGAAGTGCAGATACGACCCACTCTGGTATCTAATCACCCAGTGGACCAATACCCCAGGTATGGTGCGGTGTATGATGAAGAGGAGGCGGGTAAGTCAGGTGAAAGCAAAGAGTTGTGTGTTAGGGATAAGAATACAACTGATAGGGAAGGGGGAAAACCACAAATGCAGACCAGTATTACAACCAATAACAATAGTGACAGTGACTTCCAATGGGGCATAAAGCCCCGACCCAGGTAAATTCCTCCCTTGGCCAAGTGCCCTGTAACAGAGATTGATTTCTTCCTCCCTCCCCTAGTGCTGAATTATGTGCGGTGCTGGTGCTCAGGGCCTCAACTCTCGGGCCAGTGGAAAGCCGTCAAGGAGGAACTCTGAGGAGCCCAGCGGATGGATGGTGATCTCTGTGGAAGAGACGCCTTCCGGAGATGGAACAGCAGGATAAGGAAGGTGTTGAATGTCGTCTCCAGTGTCTTTGGGTAGGTGTCACTCTCGTCCACATGGTCGGGACCACGATGAGACCCGCACCGCACCGCGCACTGGCTGCCGCTCAGATGGACAGCCCCGCACCCACGCTGGGGTCTGTCTTTTATAGATGTTAAAATTGAACTGTTCCAAATAGCAACGCCAAGCAAGTCTGAGGTGATAGAACATTCAGGGATTTGGGCGGGAAAACAGATGGAATGTCTGGAGCCCAAAGGCGGGAAAATCCAGTCCTGACCAGTTGGGGCTAGCTTAGAGTCAGTGCCCCTGAGGTAAACAAGGATGGCGTTCCAAAGTCACGTCACAGACTCCATTTTGTATTTCTTTTTTCAATTATCCCATCATAATCCCCTCCTTAGTAATTGTGCACAGTGTTAACAGCACAGTTACCATATATAATGTATTATACTTTGAACAAGCAAAGTGCAAACATGTTACAACTAAAATAAGAACCATAATAGCAGCCACATATTAACAGGTCATACTATAGCATTTAAATCAGATAACGTAAACATTGTATTACTTGATCTCCTTTTTGATTTCTTGAGCCTAAATACACACACAGATAAGATAACCACATATATAATAATTACAAGTTGGATAATCAAAACCACCGCAATGGGATGAAGCATTAAAACCCAGGCAGCTTGCATATCCCCTGTAGTGGAGCTAAATATATCTTCCCACCAGTGCATACGAGTTGTTTCATCCTTGATTTTCTTTAACACCCGCTTTATACTAGCAACTGCATGATGAACTGTGATTAGAGTTTTTAAAACCTCTGTTTGTAAATTGTTAACATAATAGGTTAGCTGCTTATGGTGAAGAAGCCTTTTAATAGCCTCCAGCTCTGCTCCAATATGTATTGGCTCAAGGTAATCATATATTTTATAGTTCGTATGTCTTCTGTTTCTATGTCATGTAGGGTGATTTGGATATCAAATCCTACTATGCTGTAAATTTGACACAGACATATGTTGGCCGTAAAATTGTTTTTAATTTTATAAAACTTATTAACTATGAACATTGGTCAGAGGCTTCTAATGCAAAGACAATGTCTGTCCACTTCTAGCACTGCAGAATGATTGTCTAAGGAATGATGGTGTAGTTCATAATTGCAGATGCCTGGTTTAGTATTTAAACATACATGTGATTCTTCTAACACACCTGTAGTACACGTGTACCCCAATCCTTTCTGTTCTTCACACACATGGAGATTAATCACTTTGTACTCCTTACCCCTAAGATGAACCCATTTACTTGTTTCCAAGGGTACCAATAAGGACGTAATTGCAAAGAGACTCATCTATAATTGGATAGATGTCTTCCTGGGTGGCTGCCTTTAGGGTCAGGACAATGATGGTATGGTTATGGGGGAAATAGGTGAAGTTATCTAGCTTCCACCATTGATGATGTGTTCTTTCAAAGTCTGTTGAGTTGGTCCATAGAATTCTTTTAAGTTCTAAAGGCAGATTGCCACTGAAACCATCTCTTATGATTGATTTGGCAATATCCAGGAGTCACTGCTGGGCCTCTGACAGATTTGACTGTAGAATTCCTAAGGCTCCTAATACTCTGAGATGGTCCAGCTCTTGTACTTTGAGACAGTATGGTAATATATTTACAATGTCAAATTCTGTTTTGCCGAGCTCTAGTAGGGCTGAAGACAGTGGTTCAGATAGTGTCAAAACATCATGGCCCAATTCCCCAATTCTTTTGGCCGATAGATTTTGGTCTATTGTATTTAAAACTCCAAGTCCAGCTCCTACGTCATCCAGGACTTTTGCCACTAAATCACGTTTACGCCTTTGATATGTAGAGGTGGTCAAGATACCTTTAAGCCAGGCATTCCATCCTCTGAGAAGGGGAATGACGTATGGAGCACAAGTATTATGCATTGGGATGACGGAAATTTGCACAGGCATGATTATACATTTAAGGACAAACTGGGGATCAATCATGATGATTCTTGTGACATCCTTCTTCATTACAAATGGTACCACATAACTTATTCTTGGTGGTGGAGAGACAGTAATCTTAAAGTGGTCAACCAGTTCAAAAGGACCTTACACTGTCCATTTCCCAGAGTCTGAGATGTTGATTCCTATAGTTAATTGCCCGGTACAAGTGACATTGTGTATAAGAATGGAATTATCCAAAAGACAAAATTTAGACGAAACATAATGGCTCAACGAAGTGGAACACTGATTATAGCAAGGATGACATGATAAATTCATAATGTGGTACTGATTATCCAGAGTGTATACATACAGTTTGACAATGGAGGTGCGAGGATTGTGATGGTGACGAATGGCTGACATACTGAAATTCCCAGGCGACAGATACGGTGGTACAGAGATCTTCATCTTAACACATTTAAAAGAGTCCCAGTCTTTGAGATCCTGTGAACATCCAAGAAATGGCGAGGGGGTCTAACATCCAGCTGCATCCAGTGGATAATTTCTTTATGTACTTTAGTTGCCCAGTGGGGTTAAAACTTGGATCATGTTCCCGATTGTCATGTAGCGTGAAGGATATTAGGTATTATTGCCTTTTTGTTCCTTAATAACCATATAACAATATCCTTCAATTACACAGGCGTATACCATAACCAATTCCAACATGACGTTGTGGAAGCAGAGAAAGAACTGACAGAAAGGAACTGCAATACATGACAGTTCGTTAGCAAGAGTCAAGCTAACTGTAACCCTGATAACGCAAGATTTATAGCGAGGATTGTGTGAGGCGGGTGAGAAAGAACTGTGTAAGAAGTCATTATGACCTGGTATAGATAAGGTGTAGAAGACCTTGTGTAGATAAGGTATAGAAAATATTGTATGTTGGCAAGAGTCAAAACAAGTGAAGAAATGAGATATCAAGATGGCCTATGTATAAACAAAATGCAACTGTCCCTCATTATTTCTGTAATGAAAGGTATAAATGCTTGCTGTAATTAGTTACCTGAGAGAGACCTGCTTAGCTCTCTCCCTCTGTGCAATTGTGAGAGTTAATAAAGCATCTGACTTGCTGTACCCAAACAAATAGTGAGAACTCTGTTTTTCTCCGACAACGTCTTCAGGGATAATCCAATATGCTGGAGTTAGAGGTATTTTAGTTGAAAATTCCGAGATCTCTACCTCTTCTGGACATTGGTACTAGCCCTCCAAATGACCGTACTTTAGGTGGAACCTTCCTGGTACTCTGCACCCACATGGCCATGTTCTTTAGTTTTCCTCACCTGTAAGAAGATGACATGACATTATTAGTTCAGTTATTTATGTGGCTTTCCATCATTCTTTGGCATACTAGCAGTAGGATGACCCTTCCATGGCTTCACTTGGGAGCTGTGGAACTACTTTTGGATCTTTTTCTTTCCAGATCTTAATTCCAAAATATAGGTTGATGGACTGGCCTTGTTGATTATAGTCACTGGTCCCACCCATCTGGGACTCAGTGTATGATTTTTGTCCAAATAATATTTGAACAGGACTTGGTTTCCCACATCCTATTCAATGTGTCTTAAATTGTTGTTCAGTCTTTGGTCCACTTTCCTGATGTTACTTTTGAGATTGCTAGCTACAGTTTTTTTAACTTCTGTGGTGGTATTGAGCATAATCTTTATGTGCCGGTGAGTGACGACTCTTGGTTGGTATTTGTTGGGTGGCACCGCTCCTGGAATCCACCATTGTTCGGGTGTCAGCATAGGTCGTCCAAATAGTGCTTCAAAGGGGGTGAACGCATGAGTACTAATGGTGGACCTAATGGCCATCAATATCAGTGGCAATTGTTGGTCCTAATTTTTGCCCATGGAATCGATCACCTTTCTGAGGGCTGTTTTTATGGTACGGTTCGAGCATTCCACCAGCCCGGAGGCTTGGGGGTGACCTGCAATGTGGAACCTCTGGTGTATTCCCAAAGCGATACATAATTGTCTTGTGACCTCGCCAGTAAAATGGGTACCCTGGTCCGAATCTGTAATTCTGGGCAGCCCAAATCAACTAAAAGCATTCTCTAGGAGCACCTTCGCCATAGTGGTTGCTGTGCAATTTCTCGTGGGATATCCTTCAATCCATTTTGAGAAACAATCTATCGAGACAAGACAATATGCATTCCCATGTCCACTCCAGGGCAGGGGACCAATGTAGTCTATTTGAACCCTAACCCAGGGTCCATCCACAGGTTGGTGCAACAATGGTCCTTTTCGGATTTGGGTATCAGGGTTGTTATAAGCGCAGCGCAGACAATTATTGATAAAGTGCTCGGTATCCGAAGAAATGGGAGGCCACCATCCCACTGTAGCCAATCCCTGTAGTGTCTTTTGTTAACCCAAGTATCCTTGTCCATGGGCTAGTTGTACTAGCTCCTTTCTTAAAATAGTAGGAACCACTAGTATTGGTATCGGGTCCTCATTGGTGTTATCAGGTTGATCAGATTTTTCCTTTGCAGACATTACCAACCTTGATGCATGCTTGGATATTCGGTGTGTTTAGCATTTGCCTTCCTTCAGTAACTTTGCAATTTCAGCATCCTGCCCTTGAAGATAGACTATGTCATGGTGATCTGTACAATCAACTGGTCTGACTGCACTGATGGTGTGATTCACTTTATTCCAAGTTGTTTCTGGCCCAAGAAGAGCAGCTTGTTTAGCTAGCTGATCCACTCTACTATATAACAGTGAAAATTCAGCTTGATTCTGATGATGGGCCCTCCTTGCTTCCACTAAGGACCATGCATGGAGAAGGCATCCCGCGTAAGCTACAGGGTGATTATCTGCTGATAACGTATTTCTCCGCTTCCATACTGTCATCCAGTCAAGCAATGCTCGCATTATCCAGTCTGAATCGGTGCAAACCGTGATGTTTGTATTGGTGTTGGCATTTTCTAGTGCAACAATGACAGCTATTACTTCTGCTGCTTGGGCTGAGTTATGTGGAACTGTGCCCTGGTAGACTTTATCAGAAATTACATGAAGTGCCACATATCCGAAGAATAATCTGAATGCTAACAATGGTACTGGTCCATTACTAGATGAAATGGTAGAATTATCAATAATAATGCAGACAAGGGCACTGGACAGGGGTGCTAGGGGGCCATGGCCCCATCATTTTAAAAAGCGGCAGGGCTATTTCCTCTCACTTTTTACTGTAAGGTCAAGCAATGGGTGCAAGGGGGCAGAGAGGAGGGAATGGGGGCGGGCTCTTGGGGGGAAGAGGTGATGTGGGGATGGGGGCTCGTGTGGAATGGATGATGAAAAGGGGGGCCATGGCTCGGGCACCAGTGGCACCCCACTTTTTGGGAGCGTCTGCTGCTCCTGAATGCTGAAAAGGCAAAAGGGTTCAATAAATATTTGTGTTCTGCATTTGGGAAAAAACAGATGAAGTTGTCATGTCATATGAAGAGGAGAACACTCATTCCATTCCACTAGTATCTGGGGAGAATGTTAAACAGCAGCTACCAAAG